TCGTTTCTGCATTGAGGGCCTGGAGTACCAGTTGTCAGAAGAGAAAGATCAGAGAAAGAAGCAAGCTAAGGTCTGGTGGCTGCGCTCATGAAGAGTCACGCCGGTGACTGTCCGCCGGTGGTTTGCAAAAGCAAACGTGTGCAAAGAAAAAAAAAATGTTCAAAGAGAAACTATCATCTATCCACCCACCCACCGTCCATCTATCACTTCCTGTATTGCCCTAAAGCTCCCGGGTTATGGCACTAGTTTGCGACCGATTTCTCGCTTCTGAGCACCCACTGGCAAGCCCCAGCCATGCAGGTGACCAAGCACCGGACCTGCAATGCACTGCTTTCAAAAGCGCTCACACAAGTACACAGGTCATGCATAAAGCTCTGCTCTCTGGGTTGGGAGAAGAAAGGGGTGGCAGGGGGGGTGGGGGGGGGAGTTGGGAGCTTGGCCTGTTGTCAATTGTTGTTGTTTTGTTTCTCCCCCCCCCCCCGCCCGCGCCCCCCCCGCGCCCCCCCCCCCCGTTAGGCTGGGTGGGCTCTGTGTGGACACAATACAGGCTAAGTGCATCTGGACCTCAAGTCCCTCAGCTCCCGGACCAGGGGCGTCTGGAGGTTCGGGCTAGGCCCACGCCGGTTTGGCTAAGAGTTACAGATGCTTATCTTGCCCTGGAGAGCCCCCGCCGGAAGAGGAGGGCGCTTTCCGCAGTGGACGGGCAGGAGCATTCAGCCGCATCTTCCAGTTCTCTCAAGCAGAGGAGTGTGGAAGCACCCGGCACCCCTTTGTAGAGACTTGGCTCTCTCAGCTCTCGTTTCCACTCACCCACTCCCACAAACAAGCCATCCCTGGAGCAGTCCCAATGCCCAGGATGGCCATATGTAATTTAAGGACCCTTACCAGGACAGGGTGGGCACTGAGGGTTGGGGAGCACCAGTTCTGGCGCCTAAGGTTGGTCTGGGAGAAATCCTGGTCACTATTGTTGCAAACGGTTTGTCCTCCGGAGCCCACCCCCCCAACCCCCGCCCCCCGCTCGCCCGCGCGCCCCCTCCCCGCCCTTAGTCTTTTCTTCCGCTCTGAAGTGGGCCTGAGCAACTCGATCTGATGTACAGTTGCTTTTAGGTGACTGCATATCTGGAAAAGTAAACAGGACTGTTCAAGTCACTTGATTTGTTTTCAGTAAGCAAATAATACCCCAAAGCCTGGCTGTAATTTACCACGAATTAAAATTGATTCTTTTCATCAGGCAAGAAAATAGGAAAATGTGAGATCGTTAATTATTGAGGGAGGCGCTTCTCATTAAAGGGAACAATGTTACAATTCAGCATCTAATAGCAGGAATGTGAATAATAACGCGCCATATTTCAGCCCACTGTCTACACAGAAAAGAGCCGTTTACAAACAACGCAAGCAGCTGAAAGTTACATTTAATAAACACCCGAGATTTCTGTAAGTGGAAAAAGCAATTAGGGCTCTGGGCACACTACCCAATTCTTCCTGGAGCACCCTCTATATATTTTTATTCTCCCTGTCTCTGTCTGTACAAAGGATTTGCAATGGTAGCAGAAACACAATTAGAGAGAAAAATCAGAATTTCAAACCCAATCTGCATAAATCCATCTTTTGGGCTTGTTGCGGGCTCTCCCATCCCACCTCCTATTACAGCCACACCTTATTTCTAAGTCTTGCTCCAAAACTGGATGGCAAACATAATGTGGCATTGTTTATATAGTGGATATAGTTGTAATTTGCATAGCTATAAGGGTTTTGTTTTGTCTTTTAAAGAAACACCCCTCTCCCAAAGTCGTCTTCAGACAGAGATACCAAGTTCTGCTCGGTCTGGGCGCTCTTGCATCAGGAGCTAGAAGCCGGTTTCCTGGTCTTTAAAGGCTCTTTGTGCTTCCTTAAAAAGGGGGAAGGGAGGAGGGTAGAAGAAGAAGAAAAAAGATTTCCCTGTGCATCGTCCCTTGGCAGGCTCTTGTACAAAATTCAATCTCTATTTTTTATGAGAAGTAAACTGTCTAAATAAATTTTATTAGGGGCAACCAATATATTTTCTGGTCGCTCCCTTTGTTCCAGTTCTACGTGTGTGTAACAATCTAAAACCTATTTATTGAGGAAAAATCACTGGATCCGTCATAGAAAATCCTTTTACTTTGCTTTGAAGTGATTTCTGAAGACATTCTTGTCATTCCGAAGATTTGGGGGCCATTGCGTTAAAGGCTCGCCTTGTTAGGGACTTCAGTTCCCATGATCATGTGGGAAATGCTTTGAATTATCAACAGCAACGGGCCTGACCGGCACTTTCCCGGCTGCCCCAGGAACGTGAGACGATGACGGGGAATAAAACTCTGGTAAATACATCTCAGGCGCTGCCCAGGTGGATTCAGACATTGGCCAAACCGAGTTGCAAAACGAGGACACGGAGTGGGGGCGAGCATTTCGCACCCAGACTCTTTGCTTCCTCGCCACGCCTGCTGGCTGCCAGCTCCCGGCTCCAGCTCCAGCTTGCTCCCTCCCCACCTCAGGGTCCCCAAGCTGCCCCCTCACCCCCTCCCACCCTTAGATTTCCCTTTTTCCTTTTTTCCTCTTTGCTCTCTCCCTCCCTCCTCTCTGAGGTGCTTATGCTCTGAAGTCTTGGAAGAAATGATTTAGTTTGTTTATACTGCTATAAAAATCAAGACCAATAGAAAAGTCATAAAATGAAGCGGGCTATCAATCACGCCGCAACATTGTTATTCAGTGGTTACTAACAGAGATGGATAATCCTTTGATTTTGTCCCATTGTTATTACTCTGATGTGTCTTCACATTAACTATTACACATTTATTTATCGACCTGAAAGATACAACAAAACAGAATATACGAGCGAGTGCGTGTGGCAGGACGCGAGGCACCGACTGGCAGCAGATGCAGGGCTGCTGCGAGACCGGGACATCAGCGCTAGTGAGCACACACACACTTGTAGGCTCGAGGCCCGGTTCTCTTCCCCGGTGACCTCTCAAGCCTCTCACTTAAAGCAGCGGGGTCACCGAAGTACGGGACTCGTCTACCCTTTCAGGGTCCCGCTTCCCGACTGCTTCTTTAGCCGCTTGTCAGACTTTCAGGCCTGAATACCCAGAAACCCCCACCCTGGTGGTTCGAAACCCAGGGCCAGCCCCAGGTGCGTGCTCAAGTGCCAGGTCCTGAGCGCACAGCCCCGCCCTGGGCCGCTGAACTGTCCGCTCTCGCTGCTGCGCACCCACCCGCTGGAGCTGTCAAATTTGGGGGTTTTGTGTAGAGAAAACCAAACTGCTATCAGATGAGGCTCAGTCCCAGGCAAAACCGTTCTGCATAGGGCACCAGGCGCCTGCCGAAAGCCTCAAGGCTCGCAGGCGTGCTGCAGGCGCCTGGGCTCCGCCTAGCGTGCATCCCGGGCTTCGGCCCCAGCTCCAGCTAGGCCGCCTTGGTACCCGCTGCTGCGGCTGCAGCCTCACCGGGTCCCGAGCTTCCGGGTGAGCGGCGTCCAGCGCTCCGAGACACCACCAAAACCGAAACCCTGCACTCACAAGCGTGTCTGCACCAGTGCGGACGTGCACGCTCGTGTGTATGTGTGTGTGTGTGTGTGTGTGTGTGTGTACCGAAGGACTTTGAAAAGGGCCGAGGAAGAGAAGGAGGAAACAAAACTGCTCCAGAGTTGCTTCGCCGCGTCCTTTGTCTCCTTCCTCTTCCCTGTCACACACACGCGGTAAAGGACACACACACACACACACACACACACACACACACACACACACCCTCTCGCATCTGCTCTCGGGCAGCATTTCCAATGTTTTGTGTAAGTCAATTGGACGACGAACAAAAAAAGCCATTTGTTCGGTATTATTTAAAGCAGACTTCAGAGGGCCACCCTTTTGTGGGAGCTTTATTTGCACTAAATGAATAACCTTAATTGCATCACTCTCGAATTAAAAATCAATGTTAATCAAGTTGGGAGTAGTAAATATCAGTTTTCATTTTGCCTTGGGTAGAGGGCATTTTTCTTGTGTTGCAAATAAAAATACAAGTCAAATAACTTTAAAGGGGCATCATGTTCTGCTGCAAATACAATTGAAACGGATTGTTTGGGAGCAGATCAGAAACGGTACAGAATTTTGCACTTAATTTCCTCAGTTATCATTTACAATAAGAACCTCTGGGCTTGACAGCCAAGTCTAAACAGTAGTAAATTAGTACAAATTTATACTGATTTTACTCTAATAATCGTAATAAAAGCTTATAGATTTGGCACTAATTACATAAATGCCTAATGATCTTGAAAATTACTCTGGTTAGAAATATATTACTAATCTAAACTTTGTTGTTGGCTGGCTCTGAAAAATCAGGACATTAGGAATGGTTCGCTTCCCTTGTGCAAGAGCACTTTAAACTGTTCAAGTAGTTTAACATATCCAAGAGGAAAATAAAGAGCGTTTAACTTTGTTTACAGCCTTAAGTGGCTCTGGTAGCCTAACTGAACTTAGAAACTTTGACCGAGGCAGGTTGGGAACCCAGGTGAGACTTGTAGGCCCATTGGGCAGGGGGTCGTAGAACGCAGCTTCTGGAGGTTTGGAGGAGGGCATACTTCATGAAGCACCCCCCCCCCCAAAAAAAAAAAGCGGACAGCGGGCCCTGGCAGAGTAAGGGGAACCAACTTCCTCTTTACCCTCTAGGCCTGAGGTGGGATTGGGGCTCAGTAGGCCCCGGGGCCCAGCTGAGGAGTCTGGATCCCTAGCGAGCCTGTAGAGCAGTGGGAAAATGTAGGGTGGCTCTCTAGGCCAGAGCTCGCCCGCCTGGCGTGGTCCAGTGTCGCCTAGCTGGCACTGGCGGGAGGGGGTGGGGGGGGTGGGACCCTTAGGTCATGCGGAGGTCATGCCCTGCTCCGGTGTCTGAACTGCCCGTGTTCCAGGGACATCCCAGCTCTGAAACACAGAGCTGCGCCTGTGAAGCGAGCAAGACAGGACGAGGCAAGGGAAGGTGTGCCTGGAGAAAATCCCAGGGAAGGACTGACCGAGGCTCGGCCCAGAGGCCCAGGGCGAGGCCAAGGTGGCCGCTGCTTGCTTTAGCGGCTGCTGGAGGCTGGAGCTGCCTGGGCTGCGGCCGCCGCCTCCTCCCGGCAGGCGCAGGCGGGCGGGCGGGCGGAGTGGGGGACTCTCCGGGCGCTGACATTTGCAGGCCGCCCTCCTGATTGGTCCCCTCGCCGAGCTGCTCACGGGTTCATTCAACTGTTAAGCACCTCCCCGTCTCTCTAAAGGACATTATAATGCAAGAAGCCCCCTTTTTAACCACAAACCGAATTTTCTTTCATTTAGGTGATCTATATATATCTATATCGTATAGCTTATAGCTTATATCTATTTTAAATAACTTAAAGCCGCTAAAATTTGGGGGGGGAACAGCTTTCGCCCTGGAGCGGTGCGCGATGCTGTCTCATGCCGACCTCCTGGACGCCAGGCTAGGTGAGTGAGCGCCTCTCACCCCGGCAGCCAGGAGAAGCCGGGGCAGGAAATTGTCAATTTGTTCCTTATTTTACCTTAATGCGCCCTAAATGGACTAATTTCTTTAAAAGTAATTGTGCTGTATTAAAGTTTAATTTGATTTAACGTCGTCTTTTAAAAAAAATCTATGGAATATGTAGATCCCAAAACAAAAAGGAGTTGGGGATGCTTGGACTTTTTGTTTTTCTTATTTTTTCCTTCCTCTCTCTCAATTTTTTTTGTAAAGGAGTTCTAGTCAGTGATAATTTGTTTGGAGGTGTTTCTTCCTTTTTACTCTTGTTTGCTTTGATTTGGAATTTCCTTCATCTCTTTTTTTTTTTCCTTTTCTCTCTATCACCTCCTCCTCTAAGTGTGGTTAAATTTGTTTTCTTTAAAAAAAAAATCTGGCCTGAAGGAGAAGTAGCTATATGAAGGTGGATTTGCTAAATGCGTTGGTTGAGAAAGCCCAACTGATCCTCCAGGCATCCCTGCCTTCTGCACGGGACTCGGTGTTGCCAATGACTGCGAGAGACCAGCCGTTTATTTCTCGGGAGAGAAAAGTTGAATTCTCTGAAGTTTGATTCACTGTTATGGCTATAGAGTTTACTTTCTTTAAAGCTATCTGGGTTATCGGGTTCTGGGTTTCCGGCTTGGGAAGCTTTAGTGATGGATGTGACTCCATTTCCCAAACACCTTCTCTGATTTGAGGGGGAGGCGGAGCTGATTTGGGTTTATTTTGAGGGGTGGAAGGCTTGGAGACATATTCATCTTCCCGAAAGTCAGAGGGAATCGGCCAGAATTCATTAGCGCCTGGAGCCGCCTCCGAGGAATCGCTCTCGATTTCCTTTCTCTCCCGCATCCCCCGTCCAAGACTTTGCTCAAGGTTTCCTGGGACACGGGGGATCCAGTTAATGAAAGGACTTCGGGCTGGTTTTATTGCCGGGCCTGGGAATGTTCCTGTGTGGGAGACACGAAAGCCGGAGCTGTGAACCACCGGAGCCGGCTGTGGAGAGAAGGGGAAGGCCAGGAGATGTTATTTCAACCTAGCTGTCCGAAGCCTGGGAAACCGGGCTGAGGACCGGGCGGTTTCCGCAGCAGGGCGAGCGAGCGTGGGCACGGAGGGAGCGGTGGATGGGGCTGAAGCCGAGCCGCTCAGGGAAGACGCCCCGCTCCTGACATCGCCCAGGAAAGTAGTGACCGAGATCCCCTTCCCTCCCCAGGTATGAAAGATGCCGCCGAGCTTCTGGGCCACCGGGAGGCGGTGAAGTGCAGGCTGGGCGTGGGGGGCTCTGACCCCGGGGGCCATCCGGGGGACCTGGCGCCCAGCTCGGACCCCGTCGAAGGAGCCACCCTGCTGCCGGGCGAGGACATCACCACGGTGGGCTCTACTCCCGCTTCGCTGGCGGTGAGCGCCAAAGACCCGGACAAGCAGCCGGGGCCCCAGGGCGGCCCCAACCCCAGCCAAGCCGGCCAGCAGCAGGGCCAGCAGAAACAGAAGCGCCACCGGACACGCTTCACCCCAGCGCAGCTCAACGAGTTGGAGAGGAGCTTCGCCAAGACCCACTACCCCGACATCTTCATGCGGGAGGAGCTGGCGCTGCGCATCGGGCTGACCGAGTCGCGAGTGCAGGTACACCCGGGCTTGGGCTCAGGGGAGGAAGGCCAGGAGGGACGGGAGGACCCGAACACTGGCCGCCAGGTGTTCTGCCCGGCTGCGATCCCGGGCTGTGCACTTCCTGGGTAGGATGAGCTCTCTCTCTGTCCAAACATGGGTGAGGATGATCGACAGGCCCCAGTGGACTTCCTCCTTTGTAGCCACATCCACACCACCCCCCACCAACTCCTTAAAAAACAAAACAAAACACTAGCCCAGCGTTCTGGGGCTGCGGGGGTTCAATGCTCTTCTCCAGAGAAGGAAGCCCCCTTGTCTCCCCAGCAGCTAAGCCCAGCGCTCACCTTGCTCCAGTTCTCACTATTGACAAGCGCTTCATTACCCCGTAATGAGTTTCTATTACGAATTTGGATAAATGAGGGAAATGTCACATTTTACAGAAAACAGGAAAGAGGGGAATTACTGTGAAATGGGTGCCTTTAAAAGAGGGGTGGCATACTCAAACTTCCAAATGTGGTTTTATTCTCTTAAATATCACCCTCTCATCTTTCAAGCAAAATACCCCCAGCTTTATTGTTTTCAAAGGCTTTTGGCTTGGTCTACCAAGGCGCTGGGACTGGCCCAAAATACTGCTATACCACCTAGGAACTCTGGGTTTTTAATTTTAATAAAATAATTTAGATTCCCCTAAGGATGAAGGCAGGAATTGAGCACTGTCTGACTGGGATATCTGACCCGAAGAAGGAACTTTTCAGGCCAGAAAGATTAACCTGTAAAAGAGAAAATAGTTATTGTGTCCTTATTTTTATCCAGCCACCCTCCAAGGTGTAATTATACAGAATCTAGGAAATGTCACTTGTACCTCTTCTGAAACTTGGGGGGGGGAGTATAAGATTAATGAATCCCAAATTCCTTTTCTTTTTCCTTTTCAAAAGACTGACGTATACTATTTCATAGGCGGGCGCTTGAATGAAACCTTGCGCTAAGCCTTGAGCTATCCACGGTGCTGAAAACATTTCGTCGCTACTTTGGACATTTTTATTTTCTGTCCAGTATCCTGGGTGCTAAATTGACTAATTTGTTAAGCCAGTGCTACATGATTTTGTAAATTAACTTTAAGAACTTCAGTTCGTTTACATTTGATTGACCAGGAAATCAGAATTTGTTTTCATTTGGTATTTTGTAGATCGTCTAAACGGGAATACGTACTTTTGTTCTAATAAGAAACAAATATCACCAGGGACTTAAAACAGTCAAATTAACAGATAAATATTCACAATGATTAAGATTTTTATTCAACACGAATCTGGGTGTTTATTAGTAAACTCTGAAAAGCTTGAACGATGGGGCACAGACATTACACATATGAAGAGTACTAATTACATTGTTCAGGTATATTACTGTTCTGTAAATCTTCACCTTACACTCCCTTTTAAGTGTGGGTTCAAACTGTTATAGAAATATGCAATCTCAACACATGCCAATAATAATACTTGATTGTAGGCTCAATGTCGGAGAATAAAAGTTCACAAATTCACTTTTTGTCCTCAAGAGAAATCTTAGCTATTAATTTTTGTTTTAAAGAGTGCAGTGCTGGTCTTAACCTAGACATGTTGGTAATTAGTTCAAATTAAAATAGAACTTAGAATCACAAATAAAATATAATTGGACGGCTGATTTTATGAAAAAAGAAAATGAGGTCTATTAAACTTTATTAGGTCTTCCAAAGGTTAATGGCAGTGATTCTTTTAATAGAAAAAGTTATAAATGAAATAAAATATACACTGTGTGGTAGCTATTTTCAAAAAGTACACAAAAGAATATGCAAGAGGAAAGAGACAAAGTATGTTAATTGTTCTAGCATAATATTCAACCAAAGATAATAGCTTGAGCCTACTGATAGAAACAATTTAATAGAATGGCAATTTCAATATTTTTAAAAAATAATGTTTCATAGTTTAAAAAGTAATCAGATCAACATAACCTTCTTAATTAACATTTCAAAATGATTAACATTATGTAACGTAATGCAAAAATAATTTATGGAAAATGTATTTACTTCACAATTCACTCTACCACTGCTCCTTGACCAAATTCAAATTAAATAGTAATTGGTTTACATTCTTATATGATGAGTGCTTCATACTTTTCTTTATAGTTAACAGATTGCCACACATTCTTTCCAGGATGGGGGCCACCGCACTGATTAAAAATGATCTAAACATTTAACTTTTTGCAATTGTATGTTTTCAAAGATGCTTTTTGTTTTAGACTAAATTACCCAATATACTTATTTTTTTGTCTTTATCTGGACTACATCACACTTTGAAGTATTTACTAAAGCACCTCTACTCATATGGAGGCCAATTCTATGTATGATATTGCTCCCCTTTTCTGGCTAGTGTAATAAAACCATTCCTTTTATAGCATGCCATTATTAGAAACCAATTTCAGAATTATTTATAACCTGGAATGGCTTATTAAGCAGCAATGCGAGAATCATGCAAATTATGCGATCAAATGCAATATAATAAGCATAATCATTAGTCTCTAGCACGGATTAATTAACTTTCAATATTTTATTTACATAAAAACCAAATCAGTGAAATAACTTCTGCACAGTCAGGCTTGCCTTTCAATATTTTATACGAACAAAAATAATGTGCTGTAATTCCATTGACCGTGTCCCCCAGAATGGCCCTGTCACCTGCCACATCTTAATAGGGGGACAAGCTGAGAGTATTTTCTAGTTTTCTAATGGAATGAGAAATTGCATTTTCTTCCTCTCCCAGCACTATTAAAGTGTAATGAATTCGGCCCAGAGTTCACGGCTGGCTGATCGAAATGAACCTGAGATCTAGGCTTTAATACAGCGCCCCAGATTTCCTCCGAAATCTTCACATTAATCATTTGCTGGATTCCAATGAGGTCTTCATAAAGCATTTGCTTCAAGTGTGTGTGGGGGTAATATTCTTTCTTTCTCCCCTTCTTTCTCAATTCTCGAGCCATTTGTAGCTGGAGAATTAAACGGGCTATATATTTTAAAATACATTTACAGTATGTCTATATTACTGTAACAGCAGATATCATGAAAGTGGGTTTTTAGATTCCAACCTCCATTAGATTCTCACTGTTGTATTAAGCATTTTCTGAGGAGAGCTGCATTTCAAACGGAGTACAAAGTTGGATCTGTGGTTAATATATTTCCAGGAGTTGTCATCTGTGCGTTCTGAAAATCTCCCTTAGGTTTTGCCTGCATTTTAACCCGTCATGCTCTAGTTTTCAAGTGGAAACATTCACATTTTAAAAACATATGCATCATAGCTTGGAATGGAGGTGCTCAGAGTCCATGCAGATTTTCCCCCCTTGAATCTCAGTAAACCATGAAACATAAAAAAATTTGTAGCCATCATTTGACTACTAACCCTCAAACATAATTGAGCATGATTTTTCGATTATTCCTCTAATATTTAGTCCTTTAGCGGTGGTTCTTTTCCTTATGTGCATGAGCAGACTCTGGGTTCAGAAGCTTTTTTTTTTTTTTTTCCTGGCAGCAATGTTTGCTCTTGAAATTCTGCTGGGCAGTTTGACATTTTTTTTCCCTCTTTTCCCTTCTTGCTCCACCCCTTCTCCCAAGTTACCACCTCCAAAAACACTGACCCTTTAGGACTCACTAGCTCTTGAGAGTGTTAGGAATTGATCTTGACTCTCTGTTTCAACCTGTTCCTGGGAGGCTGCACGTGAGCTGGGTGAATGTTTTGGACATGGACAAGTGTCGGTCAAGGGTGTATCCCCAAACTAGTGTCGGGTGACTGCTGCAGAGGGTCTTTGGGACATGAGGTCTCCCCACTTTCTTTTCACCTAAGGCCAAAGGCTGCTTAACAGCTCAATCCGGCCACATTGATCCCTTCACCACCATCAAGGGCCCTGCAGGCTCATTAATCCCTGTACCCTGCTCAAGAGGTGCAGCATACTTACCTGTCACCAACACTGGGTTAAGCAGCGTTGCGGGAGATGGTGTACAAACTAGAGAAAGAGCGGCGAGCCAAGTCTCAGGTAAGACAGGAAGACACGGGTGGACTCAGAATTCTAACCTGCAAAGCTAGAGTAAACCAAGAGGACGCCTGCTCGCTCGCACAGCTACAAATTCTTGGTTTACCAAGAACGAAGGTCAATAAGTCCATATTCCCGACACTTCAGCTTGCAAGCAAATACGACACAGATCAGAACATCAGATAAATCACTTTTGGGGTCACAAAAAATGGAGAGCAGGTTGTGTTGGCCAAATTCTAACAGGACTAGTCAAATCTGATCTCTGTCCCACACCATTCTATAGTTAGTATCAGTAGTCATCTGGCTAACTAGATTTTAAACAGAAAGCCTGCTAAGTAAGCGTACCGAAACCCCTTCTCCTTAAAGATAAAATTCAGATAGGTGGACGTGGGAAATTATCAAGGTCAGATAGGTTGTCTATTATTTTATTCAGAGGAATTTTCGCTCTGTGATAGTGAATTTCACATTTGTGGGCACATTTGCCTGGTAGGCGCTGAAATTCCTGGGCCACAATCAGGAAAAAAAAAATAGGAGACTTGTTTGAGGTATATTTTATTAAACAGTTCTTCCTAGATAAAAAAAAAAAGATATGTCCATTGTCCCAGCAAATTTAAATTTGCACTATGACCAGTGAGTTTTAAAGTTGACCTCCTTTCCTTTGTATTGGCCAGAAATTTGCTTTAGTTTATAGCATGAGAGGCGTGTTGGGGTGTGTGTGTGTGCAACTTGCTGGCGTTAGAGGACATGTTATTAGGGATCTGAGGTAAGTTACTGGGAGGCATAGATCGAAGACCCAGGGGTTCAGGATTGTGGCAGCAAGTTCCAGCACACTCGCACTGCAGACAAAGGTGCCCTCAGAGTGTTTTGGGAGTGAGATGGCGAGGAGCATTATGGCAGTTCCACCAAGCACTGAGGGAGGAATCAGAAATCAAGGTGGCAGCAAACAACCCCGCAGCTCAGTGGCTCACTTTGCCACGCGGGTCACTATATTAACCTCTCTGCTCTGTCAACCGTGATGTTAGGGGGTTTCCTTTGTCTTTCGATTTTGAAACTGTTTATGTCATTCGTGGCCTTTCATCAATTTCCAAATTTCCAGTGTTTCTGAAAATTCTATACCCCATCAGTGCTATAAGACATGCTATTAAGCCGCATGGGTACTCATGTTTATCTTCATTTGTACACCTGTGGGTCGAGCCTTGACACATGCCTGCCTGCAGACTGGTGCGTCTAGTACAAGGCACAGGCTGTGCCAGAGCGCAGGGGGTGGTGGACGCTGCTGCACACGGTGGTTATGTGGGGTGCTGTTTGCTCGGTGCGTTCCGCGCCAGCGGGCACCGCTGACTCCAGAGTGCCGGAGTCTGCGGCTTGGTGGCGGCCAAGGGGGCGTCCGTCGTTCGGCGGCGGAGGCGGAGAACCCCCGAGCTCGCGCTGGCCGTGGGGGGCGTGTCGAGCCCGGAGCCCCGGCTCAGCCAGGCGCTGAGTGTCGGTGAGAAGCCGGGCTTCCGGGACTCAAACTAGCCACCCGGGTCGCTAACCTCGCCGGATCTTGTCTCCCCCCCCCCCCCCCCGCAACCTCTCCCCCCCCCCCCCCCCCCCCGGCCCGCTGCAGGTCTGGTTCCAGAATCGCCGCGCCAAGTGGAAGAAGCGCAAGAAGACCACCAACGTGTTCCGCGCGCCCGGCACGCTGCTGCCCACGCCGGGCTTGCCCCAGTTCCCGTCGGCCGCCGCCGCCGCCGCCGCCGCCATGGGCGACAGCCTGTGCTCTTTCCACGCCAACGACACCCGCTGGGCGGCGGCCGCGATGCCTGGCGTGTCCCAGCTGCCGCTGCCGCCCGCGCTCGGCCGCCAGCAGGCCATGGCTCAGTCGCTGTCCCAGTGTAGCCTGGCGGCGGGGCCCCCGCCCAACTCCATGGGTCTGTCCAACAGCCTGGCGGGCTCCAACGGCGCGGGGCTGCAGTCGCACCTCTACCAGCCCGCCTTCCCCGGCATGGTGCCCGCCTCCCTCCCCGGCCCCAGCAACGTCTCCGGCTCGCCCCAGCTCTGCAGCTCTCCGGACAGCAGCGACGTGTGGCGGGGCACGAGCATCGCGTCCCTGCGCCGCAAGGCGCTCGAGCACACAGTCTCCATGAGCTTCACCTAATGCCGCTGCGCGCAGCCCGCTCCGCCCCGGGCGCCCTCCTCCTCTTCCTCCTCCTCCTCCTCCTCCTCCTCCTCCTCCTCCTCCTCCTCCCCTAACCACCCCCCCACCCCCACCCCACACCCCCGGCCGCGCGCGCCGGGCTCCCAGCTCCCCCGCCCGGTGTCCCCGGTCCTCCCCGAGCCCCAGCGAGGCCGCCACCCGAGTTTCCCTCTTCCCACCCATCCCGCCCGGCTGCCCTAGCCCAGCGCTGCCCGCCGCCCCCCAGGCTCCCGCTCGCCCAGGTCGTGCTCGCACCCTCCTCCCGGCCTCGGCCTGGCGGCGTCCCCCCCCCCCCCCCCGGGCCACACTTCGGTCACGACACTCCTCCTCCCCGCCCCCACCACCCCGCCTCGCCCGCGCCTCCCTTCGGGCTCCTTCTCTCCCCAAGCTCCTCGCACCCTGGCACCCGCGCCCGGCAGAAAGCATCCTTCCCGCCATTTTACTTACCAGGGAGTCGACTCAGGATCTGAAATCAGACGCCAATGGACTGGTTTGTGGGCAGACACACACACACACACACACACACACACACACACACACACACACACACACACACCATAGCTCACGCTCAGACACTCCACGCGCGCGCGCGCGCGCACACACACACACACACACACGCACATGCACACACACACAGAGTGCATCTTGGTCACACAACGGACGTGTTCAAGGTACAGCACAACGTTAGGGATTTTTGTCTTAAAGGTGGACAAGCATCTGCTACCAACCGCCGCCTCATCTGAGGGCCCAACTGATGTAATTTGATTTAGCCCTGTATTCTTTCTCTGAACCCCTCTTTTTCTTTCCCAGACCACCACCCTACCCTGTCTACCCAGGCACGTCCATGCAACCCTCTATTGGCTTGCAAAAAGACCGCTTTCGTTATAGCTCGGTTTTTTCTTTTCTTAAGCACAAATGTGTGAGGGTATAGAAGGGAAGGCTTCTCAGGAGGAACAATGCCAGAGGATTGGGTGGCTGGAGCAGACTAAAGCAGTTACGAAGGAAGAGGTGATCTTTCCCACTTTGATAGGCCTTTATAGGAAGAACAAAATACACACGTAAGGGATTTTTTTTTCCTTTTGTAAAAGCAAAAGCCACATGTCTTTTCTAGATCCTTCAGGACTGGTGTTCGTTTGCTTCCTTTTCTGTTTCTCTCTTCTCGCTGCTCCGTGCCCTTGGTTGTTTTTGTGGTCGTCCTCTCGCGTCCTTCGTGCCCGCCCGCCCGCCCGCCCGCCCCTCGGCCTCCCGCCGGCCGCCGGTGGGTGCAGGCGGACCTCTACAACCCTGCAACTTTGTACAGAGAAACACAATCAGCTCTTTCTGCATGTGCTGGTCAAATTCCAAACCCAGAGAACAGAAGCGCTTTCTAAGAATGAACAAACGTGAAATAGGATGTTTTGTGTAGATAAAGCATTCTTGTTACATACTGGTCAATTTGTGATATGTTTTAACTTATTGTCTGTGCTTATTTATGGAATTTGCTTTTCTTAATAAATGTTTGAGCTAATATAAAGCATATTATTTGACTTTTCCCGGACAAGTTTATATCAAGTTAAATGTAAATGGATTAAAAAAAAAATAAAATCATTTTCAGTATGTGATACAGAGAATGATGGGTTTTGGTGTAACTTGGACCGGCAGGATGGGGAGGAATCCCCGAGGAGCCGGGAGAGGGCTAATCCCAGCTGGTGCGGTGGTGGTTGGGGTGCCTGCGCCCTTCGCCCCTGCGGGAGACTTGGGTTTACTTTTCTGGGCTGCACCGCGAGGCCTCCCCAGCCAGGCTGCCCGCTGGGCAGCAGCGGACACCGCGGGTGCCCGCAAGGCCTGGCCGGCAGGAAGTGCGGAAGCCCGGCCGGGAGCGGTCCACGCGAGCTCGGAGTCTCGCGAGGCTTTGGGCCGAGCGCTGGGCCCGGGGCCGGGCAGGAGGGCTGCACGGGGTCGAGAGTGGAGCCGCTTCCTCGGCGGCGACTGGGTCGGTGGCGCGGAGGGCGCCCCTCGCGGCCTGGGCCGGCAGGCGCGCCCGAGGGGCGGGCGGAGGGCAGGAGGAGGCCGCGGTGGAGAAGCCTGGGCCTGGAGAGCCCCGAGCTCGGCCACCGCCCAAGGCCGCGCCTGGGCCCGGCGAGCATGGGCGCAGTTCCCCAAGGGCCTTCTGGGTAAGGGCCGCGGGCCTCAGTGTCCCCCCCGGTGCTAAGCTCCGCTCCCAGCGTCCCGGACAGCCCTCCCGGGGGCAGACGACGCCTGGCTGCTCCCCCCGGGCATCCCCTGCTGGTCTGCTCCGGTTTTCCCTGTCCAGCTCGCTCGGTGCCAGCTAACCTCGAAGTGAGCCACGTGCTCCGGGAGTGCTCCCTCCAGGCGTGGTGGAAAAGGCTGTTTCTGCCTTAGTCTGCCCGGGAACGTCGCCGGCGGCGTGGTTTAGAATCAGAAGGCAAATCGATATCACACTCTTGCTTTTGGAAAACTCACCAAATCAATCTGAAATCTAATGGTCGTTCTAGGCATTGAGAGGGCACCCCCTTCCCCATGGGAGGGTTTCTCATTTGGTTGCCAGAGTGTAAACCCTAAAAGCACACCCATATTCTAGATTATCATTTTCTGCCACAGGGCTAAATATGAACCTTAAGAACTACATGTAATCATTACTCAACCACCAGAGCACAAAGGATCGCCTTAAAGGTGAGGGCGAAGAAGAATGGTTTTCTTTGATGAAAACAAAACAAAACAACGACCATATGTTCTATTACTTAAAGGATGTTAATTAGAGGCAAGTCAGTGAGTTTACAGGGTATTTCAGTTCTGTATTTTCTAAAGAAATTAACATATTAAGAGAAAGTCGCTAATTTTTGGCTTCACATTAAAATGCAACTTTTTGTTTTGAGACAGGATGTGGATATGTAGCCCAGGCTGTCCCGGAACTTGAAGTGTTTTTCCCGCCTCTGCTTCCCGAGTGCTGGGATCACAGAGATGCACACTGTGCCAGACAAAAAATGGGACATCCCTGTACTTTTGGAGTGTTTCCTGAAATTAAGAAGGACAGCCTTCATGTCTATAAAACATCAGGAGATGAGGACTATTTTTTTTTTTTACATGTTTTATGTTCTCCCTTGTCTTAATGCTAATTCGTAAAAAAAACCTTTTGGATACCATAACATCAAGTTGCCTTTAAGAGATCAGAACAAATCACCATTGATGGCTTCACCAGTGAGCATGGAAAGTTGTTTACAAGGATGCTAATTTTACAGCTTTTTTATGTTGCTATAAAACATAACTTTATGATGTAGGGATGCAATAAAGGATGTTAAATGGAATCTTTAAAATTTGTATTTCTCAAAGGCAAGGGAAATAGGATCTTTCATTTAAAAAAAATGGGCTAACTCAGAACACTGATGAGAAGTTGCAAATCAAATGAAGTGATAGATGTTTTCAAAGACACTTACATTTTGTAATATAGTGGCTATTTGTCAACATCAAAATGAAAGTATACAGAGTTTTTCACTTGACATGACTCTGGAATCATATTTGTTTCTACGGCAATAGTTTTTTTTTTTTTTTTTGTCTGTTGGTATTAAGAATCCTGAACATTTTAAAGTCATATGTGCTATTAGGGTAGGGGAAGGCTAGCCTGGCCCAAGTGTTCAGGCTGACAGTTTAACAAAGATAAAAGCAGAGACTGAGAATCTCAATTACAAGCATGGAAGATTTTTGCCTTTTGAGGGAGAAAAAACCCAACAGAATAATATTTCATATTATTTTTACTCATTATTGAAAGTGAGCCCAACTCCAGTTTGTTTGTTATAACTAAAGTTAGTAAGGAATATAGCGGTGTGAAATATCAGTGTGCAGATGGATGAGTACAACATGCAAGATGTCCAGCCTCTGATGAGCTGTACTTTTCTGCTGAGTAGCCTGCTTGACATCTGTCTCTATATGCTAGCCAGAAAAGTCAAAGTCTATCATGACGTAACTATATGATTGCTTTATTTTAATATACATGTTTATCATCGTATCTTAATTTTCTTCTCCAAATTGGCACTAAGTATCCTATGTATCATGCAAGTAACAGTGTAATAATGTACAAATGATGCTGCATTTACTTTTTGTTGTTGATGGAAAGTGTATGATTTAGGAATTCAACCTGCTAGAGATGATGTTAGAGAGTGAATATAAAATAGGCTGCAGAACGCTTTGGGTAAATCAAGGAACTGAGAAACCTAGATCTACAGAAGAAAGAGAGATGCAGTTCTGACTCTGAGGTGATTTGTGTTTGTTGCTCTCAATGACTTTTCACCCTGAAAATGAAAATGTATTTTTAGTCTGTGTGGTGGACCCGTTGTTTTAATTTTGGGCATAAAGAAAAAACTCAGCTCCCACAGAAGTGTGTCCTACTTATGGCAGTGGTTAGAACGTTGAAAGAGTGTAACGTTCCTTTACTTCCTCTCAGACACAAAGGTACTCTCATCTGAGGGCATTTATGTGAAGAAATAACAGCATGGCATGGTGGAACTACTGGCTCATTAATCCTGGCATCTCCTTCCTACAGGGTTCCCTGATTAGGTAGATTCATTCATAGGGTATTTCAGAGTTTTGATTTGTCACCATTGGCTAGGTTCACTGAGTTCAGGCTAAATTGAGCCAGAAGCAATGTTTATTAGTAATTTTGTAGTACAGGCTACCCTAATAATTCAGCCCAAATATCTCATCTGAAAAATAACCATTCATTCTCGCTTCTAATTTGGGTTGCAGCTGTGTTCATAGGGAATTGAAAGAACACAAGTGATTGGGCATGTATTTTCTAAATTATTAATATGATGGCTAATAGCTGTAAACCCATCTTCATATCCAATACAGAAATTATGCTTCATTTTAAAAAACGAAAGCAGCAACAAAGGGGAACACCCCCTGCCTGGCTTTGCGCTCTCATCAGGGCAGAGCTTTCAGTAGAGGAACTGTGGCCTATTTAGCGGAGAAGCAGAACAATGCCTTTGGGTTTTTTCTTCCATTGTTATGCACTATCAAAATAAGGTGTGGGTTTATGAGATTT